TATGTGTGTGTGTGTGTGTGTGTGTGTGTGTGTGTGTATTTATTTATTTATTTATTTAATTGTATTATGATATTATATGGTAGCTCATCTTCAATTATCAAAAAATTATATTATTCAATGTTTGAAGAGTATCAAAATAAAGCTAAGGGAATAGTGGAATATTCAACCTCACGAGTAAATGTCAATGAGTCAAACTTGGATAATTTAAATATTTGTAATTTTCTTAGTGATTATGATTCATTTGTGAATGATACAATTGAAACATAAACAAAGTCTGAATAGAGCTATACTTGGGAAGAAAAAGCTTTGTTTATATGTACTACTTTTGACATTTTTTGATAGTGGAAAACAAATAGGATCAAGTGTCCAATTTTGCAAGCTAAGGATGTTTTGGCAATCCCAATTTCAATTGTGACTTTAGAATCTGCATTTAGCACAGGAGATAGATCTTTAAGTTCTCATCGTGCTGGCTTTATGAATTTACTCTAGAGGCACTTATATGCATATAAAGTTAGTTGAAATATAAGTAATAATGTAATAAATAATTAAACTTTGTTTATTTAATGAAAGTTATTTTATTTTTTATTTTTTATTTTAATTATTAATTTAAATTGTCTAATCATTCATTTTCTTGTCATGTTTTATTAGTATTACTAGACCAAAACAATATATAAACTTGGAAGAAAAGCGTTTGCAAAAATCTGAAGTTAATTTTGATGATGAGGTTAAATGTCTATATATTTGTGTTTTTTTAAATGTATAGTATATAATTTAACCTATAATTTTAATCTAACTAATTTCTGTATAATTTTTTTCATAGGTCTTGAAAAATATTGTTAACACATGATCATGATGTTAGAAGTTTAAGTATAATTTTTATTATGTTGATTTTTTTTAAAGTTTATTTACAAGAATTGAATGTTTTGTAATCTTTATTTATATGAATTGTTATGTTAGATTTTTGTAATGTTAAAGACATGAAAAATTAATATTATATTTGCTTGTGTGAAATGTTATCTCTTTATTAATTTATTTACTTTATACACAAATAAAATGTGGGTCACGAATGTGGGTATGGGTATAGGTGCTTAACAAGTAAAGGGATGAGAATTAAAATTGTAATGTGCGCAAATATAGGATTAGGTATGAGTATTATTTTTGAACACAGATACATGAACGGGTTCTGTGAGACCTTATTCATTGTCATCCCTACACACTACTCTTAAAAGCAAATCCATAATTCTAATTAACAATGTAATTCATACACTATTGTTGTAATTGATTACCAAGTGTTAGGGGTGAGTACCAACCCAAAACTGTAAAAGCTAAAAGAAAAAATGGTAAATGGGTAGGTTTGAACAGGTTACTGGTTTAGACGAATTAAAAAAGTGTCTTAAAATGATTAATTTCAGTCAAACTTGATTCGAGTTTTTGGACCTATTGATACTCGAATCCAATCGTCCAAACAAAATAAAGATCAAAGTAATTATCATTCAAGTTTAAAAGTTAAGTTTATTTTAGCTCATCTTTAATCATTATTGTTAATGCACAAGAAATTCTAGTTGGGGTGCAATTTGTAACTTCCTTTTTTGTATCATGTACCTTAATATTTTAATTATTTGAAACTTGAATGATTTTATTCATTTTGAATCTAAATGAACTAAATAATTTTTGAATCGTTGAATGTATAAAAATGATACGAGACATGAAAAGAAAAAAAAATAAATTAGATAAAAAATGTTATTTAAATCAATTAAATGATTCAAAATCAAGTACATTTCTACCGATAAAAAATCATCTGCTAAAATTGAGACTCGTCTAAACCGGTAAGTCATTTAGTCATATTCAAATTTAAATAATGCAACTTATAAATTATATCGATTTGAATTATATCAATCCGAAATTGACCATTCCCGACCTTGATGGCCCCAACCAAGTGTTATCAGAAATTCCATTACCTTTACTTAGTCGATCGGACCCGATTGAATCAATAACATTGTGTTAATTGCTTTTTTGTGTGGTTTGATTATAACAAGTTATAATAACCCCGTAATTGTGTTAATTGCACTTTTAATGTCACCTGGATGGATAACTTGACATACAAGTAGTTAACAGGTATGACTGCCAACGTGTTGTACTTAGTATCAATGGGACTAAGACCGATACTTTTGAATTTGGGGGTCATAATTCATAAATGTAAGCTCATGTTACAAAGTATGTCAAACTGTAGGGTCAGTTTCTCTTTAAGATAAACAAATTCGGTTAGCCATCCTTTAGCAAAGACAATTGAATCAAATGCTGGCCTTCGTGACTATTCTCATATCCCATACTGTATTTTCCAACAGATTATCAATGATGAGTTAAATTTGGTTGTCTCTCTCTATATACATATATAAAGAGTAGTTAACATGTATCAGAAGATAGTGATGACCAAAAACTATTACTTTGACTTTTGAGGAACGAAAATCAGTTTTTTTATAAGAATTAAAATCAAAACTTACTCATCATTTTATAGGAAATAAATATATACTTAGGCCAGTGAAAAAAAATTAAATATTTAATGCTTCATTCATTCTGTCTGTTTGACATTTAAGATTTTTACACTAATAAAAAATGCAATCAGTATTTTAGATTCCATAAAAGTTAATATTATGTAATTTCCTTATATACCCTTAATATTTTATATTTATTATATTATCTCTTGTTTATACCCCTTTTTAATATGTTGTTTTCATCGCTTTATCTCGTCTATACCTCTTTTTAATGTTATTTTCATCACTTTATCTCTAGTCTATACTTAGTCATCACTTTATCACTTCACAACACAATATATATATATATATATATATATATATATATATA